AAACCAATCAACTTATCATATCCTGACACGGGATTCGAATTTGCGCAACTCATTCTAAGATAGAAATTGACTCTACACTACAAGGCGTTATAATCAAAATCAAGAAATTAATTACTAAAAAATTAAGCCTGCTTGGCGGTAAGAAGGCTCTGGATAGTTGGGCGATAACTGGAAGGCGATTCCCCTTGAAGTGCTCCAAAGGTGTTGAACGGCGAGAACTATTATTGTCTTCTTGCTCTTGCAGTCGAGATACTATATCCATTTCGTGCTTCTCGATTTACAGCCATACCAGACGACGACGTTTTGGAGCTCAGACTAATGATGTAGATGATTTCATCTCCGATGGCGACTGACTGTGCATATTTATCTTTAAATATAATTTGAAGTTTACTAAAGTTTTGTTCTATTTCAACAAACAAAAAAACAATTACACTTAAATTTTAAAAATATGAATATTTATGAATTATAATTAAAATTGTATTTTGAGAAATGCTATAGGTACATAATATTGTACATATGGATGTACATAACACTCACATTTAGTGAAATCTACCAAAAATAAAAAATCAAGTGAACCCCACGCAATGTGAGTGTTATGTATACCTCTATATAAATTTATTATGTATTTGTAGTATTTTTCTTTATTTTATATAAAAATGTTTGAGTTAAAAAAAATTGCATTGTACACATTGACTGAGTCGAGTCGAATTTGAGTTCGTTTGATAAATATGTAGAACTTGAGGTTGTTTAAACCTCATTTGATTAACAAGCTCACTCGTTTAGATTCACAAATAGAATTTTTTATAGCTCAACTTATTAATGATCGAATTGAATTCGCTGATATCGTAAACGAATCAAACTTAAGTTAGTTTATCGACTTATTTCATTAACAAATTGGGTTCAGCTCAAGCTCGAATATCAAAAGTTGTATAATGTATATTGCCTAATTCATTTACACTCCTATTCACACCGCAATTATACAAAAGCAATTGCTTTGTTTGAAAAATGTTTTGTTCAAGAATTACAATCAATTATTATTACTAAATTATTACAGGGGCACGTGGTCCGCATGCGTCACTATATACTGGCGAACAATCTCACAGCCACGTAAATCTAAAAAAATGTCCCAAAATTATTGAAATAAACTGTCAATAAGCTACCAAAAGATTTCCCAGAAAAACAAATGTGCCACAAGCAAACTCTACAGCCCAGCTGCGTGCTTTCATCTTCATCTTGATAACTGTATCAAATTTCTCACCGCCGACCGACGTCGTATGGCTTCTCTCATCACCAACGGCATCTCGCCTTTCTACTCACAACCTGTCCCCGAACACTCGAAAGGGTCTATATTATTCCACCCCACCCCCAAATCCCCCTTCTACAGAAACCCTAATTCAAGAACCTCTCTCAAAATCAGGGCTGACGTCGGGTACGATTCAAAGACCGCCGTCGAATCGCCAGGTAATAAATCATTCAGTTCATCACCCAACGACGACGACGACGACCCACTCCAGAAATTCTTGAAAAGGGACTACAAATGGGGCTTCACTCAGGAAATCGACTCGTTCACCATTCCAAAGGGTCTGTCCGAGGAAACTATCAGGTTAATCTCCTCGAGGAAAGACGAACCCGATTGGATGCTGGATTTCAGATTAAAATCTTATTCAAAATTTATGACTATGAGGGAGCCCCAGTGGTCCGACAATCAGTACCCTAGAATCAATTTCCAGGACATCTGCTACTACTCGGAGCCCAAAAAGAAGCCGACATTGAACTCTCTCGACGAGGCCGACCCAGAGCTCATCAGGTATTTCGACAAGCTTGGCGTACCCCTGAACGAGAGGAACAGGTTAGCCAACGTGGCAGTTGATGCCGTTCTCGACAGTGTCTCGATTGCCACTACACACAGAAAGACCTTAGAGAAAGCTGGGGTCATATTTTGCTCAATTTCTGAAGCTATAAGAGAGTATCCCGATTTAATCCGGCAATATCTGGGGAAAGTGGTTCCGGCAGACGATAATTTTTACGCAGCCTTGAATTCGGCCGTTTTTAGCGACGGTTCTTTTGTGTATATACCCAAGAACACCAAGTGCCCTATGCAGATATCCACGTATTTCAGAATAAATGCCATGGAGACTGGCCAGTTCGAGAGGACTCTCATTGTGGCTGAGGAGGGCAGTTTTGTCGAGTATTTGGAAGGCTGCACGGCTCCTTCATACGATACGAATCAACTTCATGCTGCTGTAGTCGAGCTGTATTGCCACGCGGGCGCTGAGATTAAGTACTCGACCGTCCAGAACTGGTATGCAGGGGATGAGAAGGGCAAGGGTGGAATTTACAATTTTGTGACTAAAAGGGGCCTCTGTGCTGGAGACCGGTCAAAGATCTCTTGGACTCAGGTGGAAACTGGCTCGGCTATAACTTGGAAGTATCCGAGTGTTGTGTTGGAAGGGGATGGATCTGTTGGGGAGTTTTACTCGGTGGCCCTCACGAATAACTACCAGCAAGCAGATACGGGCACTAAGATGATACACAAGGGGAAGGACACGAGGAGCAGGATTATTTCGAAAGGGATTTCGGCAGGAAATTCGAGGAATTGTTACAGAGGCCTTGTTCAGGTGATGTCGGGTGCGGATAATGCGAAGAACTCGTCTCAATGTGATTCGATGCTGATTGGGGATAAAGCTGCAGCCAATACTTATCCTTATATTCAGGTAAAATAATTAACCGTTTTTTAACCTTGATTTTTCTCCGAGCATTGTGTGTGGAGTTAAAGGTTGGCATTTTCCGTGATGATATTTTGTGTTCCAATGGTTGAGTTTTACTGTTAATGATGTATGATGATGCTGATGCCTTGTCTGATGTTGAAAGTAATATCTTGTCCAGTGAGAGTTGATCGAATTGTGATTTCCTGTATTCATTTTGTCTCTTGTGCTTGTAAGTTCTGAAGATGGGCTGGGCTGGCTGAAGGAACTTTGCTTGATTCGTGCGCTTGACTGATATTAAACTTTGTAGCTTTGTGCTGATGTAATTATATCAAGTGGTATTTTTCTCTGCTTTTACTTCAACACTCTTTTGTTGACGACTGGTTTTGCACTTTATATGCATGGAGCAATAGAGTCCTTGTGGCAACTTATTATCTAAAGCTGCAACTTATCTGAAATTCAATCAGCTGAGTTATTTGACCAAAAAAGGAAAAAAAAGAAAAATGAAAATCAGCTGAGTTATGTGTAGAGTGGGAAATAGAATTTGTTCTTTAACAGAATAGGCTATTACTGTATAACAAAATAAGCTGGAAATAAACAGAACTTAAGTGTTTGAGCCTCTGTACATTTTTTGATTCCTTTCTCTTAACTGACAAATATAAGAAAAGATTCAAGCCGTTGACTAGTTTATCTTCTTCTGCTGTCAAAACAGACGAAAAACCCCACGGCCCGCGTTGAACATGAGGCCACCACCTCAAAAATTGGTGAGGATCAGTTGTTTTACTTCCAACAGAGAGGCATTGACTACGAGAAAGCCATGGCTGCTATGATCTCTGGTTTTTGCAGGGATGTTTTCAATGAGCTGCCGGATGAGTTTGGTGCCGAGGTCAACCAGCTGATGAGCCTGAAGCTTGAAGGATCTGTTGGTTAGGTCCCGTTTTTTGGACGAACCTGATATCAGTGTTTTCTGTTGCTTCCTT